TAACAAATTTTTGTATACATTTATATATAAAATAATATGGAGGCGTTGTAATTTTTTTATACATTTATATATAAAATAATATGGTGAAAACTTCAATACATAAAGGCCATCTCTTTTCCTTTTTCCTAATTATTTTTTTCCCCAAAATCGGTTTGCTGCTACAGATCCAAAAACTCATTTCCCAATTTCATCTCTCAATCTCAACCTACAAACTGAAATTGAATCAATCTTACACCACGCTCGCGAGGGAATCGGTTTAATGTCGATCTCATCTCCCAATTTCAACTTAAAATCTGAATCAATTTCACGAGGGGAAAGGATTCAATCTTGCACCATTGATGAAGTATGCAACTTGGTACTCGAAATCGTCGGCGAAGGCGAGGACGGTGGCAGAGAAGCAGTTGGAGGACATTCTCACTCGAAGCATGGGTCTAGTTCACTTAAACCTCATCGTGTGGGTTCTTTAGCTACATTAGAAACAAGGGTTACTAGTCCTCTGTCTCTAGTAGCTGAGGAAAACACAACTCCAGCCAACTTATATTTGGAAGTCGACTAGTCGGTGGAGAGTGAGGTTGTGGGTGGTGTGAGCGGACGGCCGAATCTGTAGCATGGCGGAGCAGATGTTGTGGTCGAGGGACAGCACTTCTCGATGGAGGTCCAGTAGTCGGTCAAGGTAGTGCGGAGGCTCGCCAGAGACCTCATCACATCCATGGTGACCGGGCAACACAGGTAATGGTTGTATACAATAGAAATTGAAAAAATAAAAAGAAAATTACAATTTTTATTTAGCAAAACAATTAGCGGGATTATATTTTTTTGGCGCTCAAAATTCGAGATTAATTAGGAAATTTTTTATCTAATTAGGGTAGACAAACAAAGATTTTAATGATTTCGTATCTCCGTCAATCTCTCCCTTTTTATTTATCTCAGACAATATATATATGCACAATTAGGTTTTACTTAGCACTACATCAATAATATTAGTTGCTACGCATCCCTACAATCTTTTCCTGGTGAAGTTTTTCTTAATCGATCATGTATAAAATTTGTGTTTTTACAGATTTTATATTGGCCCACCTTTATTCAGATTCTTTCTTTGTATAAGCATAATAACTGAGGTTGAAGGTGTAAAATTTGTGTTTCAAATTATTCTTCGTTATATGATCGTCTTAGTAGGGAAGCTAATCATATGCGTTGTTTTGTCTGGGTGTTGGGATAATGGTCATGATGCTGTGAAACTTGCTATGTTGCACTTGCTTGCCAACTATTTGATGGGAAATGAGCCGAGTGCTTTTTTATCGTAATTATTTACCTATTATTGATAGTCAGGATTATAATACTACTCATGGGGGAAGGAGATATTTGAGTACTTTTTGTCGCATTTGGCTTGTCGGAAAATGACCTCGAAAATGTCTGTCTATAGTAAAATGTGTGGTCGGATTATGGTTCTTTAGTGGTGGTTTTATGAGATATGTGTTGAAGCTTCTGGTGTTATATGTTTACGTGTTGATGTCGTTGATTATGTGATACCTCGGATGATAAAGTGGAAGGTTGTGAATATGTTTGACAAAGAGTTTCTAACAAGTTATAAATCTGATTCTGTTATATCTTTGATTGATTTAATATGCTGTTTTGGTGCAATATTCAATAAATTTGTGAGCAAACAACTCTGATTATAATGAAATCATGATATGTGTAATATGTTGGAGTCTTAGTTTTTCTAGTTGATGTCAAAGGTGCATTATTTTTTTAGTGAACTTTTTTGCAAATAAGTTTTATTATTGTTGTGCTTGGTTTCGATTATTTTGAAGGGTTTCCAATATTCCGAAGGGTTTCCAATTACTGTTGTGCTTGGTTTCGCTCATTTGCCAAACACATTGATCTTTGTGTTCATAAACTTGTTTACGCATTTGCTATATTAAATCAATTAGATTTTTAATATGTCACATTTATTATTTGTAAATTATTTTGTTTTATCTAATACGGTATTTATTTTTATGTTATAGTATGTAAATATTCGTCCAAGGGCTGATGAGGTGGGGAAGATGGACCTGGATCTTTTATTTGTTGATAAAAATGAATTTTTGCGTGTTGATAAAACGATTATGTATTTCTTAGCTCTTCAAAATGGGTTTTGCATTGCTAAAATTTTTGTTGTCTTATGTAGATTTCTACGAATGGCGCCAGGAATTCGTAAACCTAGACTTATTTCAAAAGCTTCTCTACAAAGCATGCTTAACCAATCTGCCAAGAATAGCTCTGCTGCGTCGGCTCATATTGGAGTCGGAGAACGTCTTAACCAATCAATTGTGTCATCAAATGTGCCATCTGCTGGAGTTGAAACTTTTGGAGTTGAAGTGACTGGAGCAAGTCAAACTACTGAAGTTCATCATGGTTCTTCTGGTGAAGGTGATAACACTACAGCAAATCACAATAATGAGAGTGGCATTCTGCGAACCCTTGAAGCTTCCAACCAAAATCAGAATTTGAATGCAGCTGAAGGATCTGGTAACCTTCAGGATACATCAATCAAAGGTACAATATGTTTTTTACTTAGGATAAGTAG